CTGATTTGTAAATATTAATATTGTGTGCAATGTTATTGTCGATTTTTACTCAATGTTCTTATTGTGTCCTATTATTAGTATAGTATGAATTAGTAGCACAATTTTACCCAGCGCAGCGGGTACCCGCAGCTAGTTGAATATAAAGCTTTTATCCATGCCATCTCATGGCCGGCAGTGGAGAATGTGTTTGATGAATTAAATTGTATTTCGCGATAACACTGGCTCCCAGGATCGTGACGGATGGCTGGCTTTAGTCGTTTTATGTGTATGTGCGTTTCTTTCTGCAGTACGTCGTCTGGTCGGTGTTGTACATCGGATGGAACGTCCTTGTCATCTGCCTGTATCTGGAAGTAGGAAATCTAAGCATCGCAAATGTAAGTTGGTTGTTAATGTGGTCGTGCAATATCTAGCAACAATGGAATAATTTGGACTTGTTTGTGTCGTTTATTATAAATACATATGGTTATCTTTTTTACAGACATTTTTATAATTTTGTCATATGCACACACCACACGCAAGCACGCACGTACACTGATGCATATCTTCTATTCACCTGGAAAACAATTCGTTTATTTTCATGCAGCATCTGTGCCTGTGTGTGATTCTGTGTGTGCGTGCGTGCGTGCGTGCGTGCGTATATGTGCACGTATGCATGAGTGCGTGCGTAGGTGAGGGCATGTCCCTGTGTACACGTATGTGTGTGTGTGTGTGGCTGGCTGTGTATGCTTTTAGCTTTTACTGTCAATTATTAACGCCGGCGCTGTAAATCTATGCGCGTCTATACATCTGCCGTGATAGAGTATTGAACGCGCTGCGGCTGCTGGAAATGCTAGCATACCTTCTAGCACGCCTACGCGAGACTCTCCCTCCCTATCGCTACCGCAATGCTTCAGTTAACGCAAATTGCTTAGAGTAAATTGTGAGGTTCGCACGCCGATCTGTTTTTGCTCCTGTCCTACGCACGGCGTGCCTCTTTCGGGTACGTGGGCTATAGTAGAAAGAGCCTGCCTGTCTAGCGGCACCGCTGCGAAATTGCCGAGGGATAAGGGAACCACAGTATTCGGGGGGAGTGCTGATGATTCACAGCTACACAGCTACGTCCTCCGCCCTTCTCACGGGTGTAATCCACAACTTAACTATTCAGCGCTTGACACGGTCCCGTTGTGATATATTTCGAAATCGTCGACGTCTATATATTACCAGGGGTTAATAATGACAAATTCAAATTCAATGACAACCCTTGATATTACTATATTTAGGGAAAGGCCCCCCCCCCTGCTGGTCCGTTGACGAAACAGAATATGTGAGACATCTCTTATCTATTTTTGATAAGAGATATAGATAGTTAGTTCAGTGGGTATATACACGACCTGCCGAATATTGTAATCTGTGTTGTGCATTATTGGATGAAATCTGACATAATAGTATATCAAATCCATGCAGTTTCTACAGTACCTGACCAAATCTGCCATTCTTAAATGTTTTAAGTGTTTTGATTAAGTGACACTGTCGGTATTTTGGTTACTTCTTATTCTTCTTCTTCTCGGGTCACTAGTGACTACACTACACTCGAACTAGCCACTGCAGCACACAGGACCTTGCACGGTGGTTGAAAACCTCCAGGTCTCCAGGTCTACAGGTCTCTATAGACTATAGTATTTTGGTTACTATGGATGACCACTCTCCCTGACCTATAGCCGGACCTATGACCGGACAGCTCTCATTGTGTGTTCATTCGAGAGGACACTAATCTGGGGTCCTGTCACTCCAGTGTGCTGGGCGCATTGATGTGCACCACAGATACGTGTACACGGGTAGCCGCGTACGGTTAAGTAGGCATCCTAGGCACGCGTGCGCCCGGTGAACATCTCAGTCATTCATTACTATAGCGAGCAATCAGCCGTGCTCCTCTCGTTATTGTCGCGAGAATAATGAGCGTAGTCGGCCGCTGCGTTGCTCGCCGCTTCATGCCCGCGTGGACCGCGGCCGGTCGGCAGGTAGGTAGGCCCGCTGATGAGTGAGTGAGTGAGTGCGTGTTCGTGGGGGTCGCCGGACGGATGTATATACATGTACAGCGCGCAGGCGGCGTCTGCGATGAGAAACTTGTTCGCATGTTTGTTGGTGTCGCCGTTGCTGTATCGCCGGTCACACGCGCGTTGCGGGTGAAATGAGACGGTTGGGGAGTGTAACACGCGTGCGTTTATTGCGTTGCGCGCGTAATCGTGCGGTGCGTGCGTCGGACGGGGTCCGAATTCCGACGTGACGCTGATAGAGTGGTTGGTGCGTACTCGCTGTCGTGCGCCATTCGCTGCGCGAAGCATTCATTTTGTTGATAGTGAATGCGACGTACAATGACGCTAGATGAATAATTTAAATTCCACTTGTGTGTGCGTGTATGTGCTGGGTGCGTGTGTGAGCGCGTGTGCGTGAGTGCATGAGTGTATGAGTTTGTGCGTTTTGACATATGCTCTTCCAAATATGCAATTTCAGAGATCGTACTTTCCCTCTAAAATCTATACATTGCTATCTATTAGCATATATGCTTGTAAATTCTTTGTTTATTAAAAGAATGCCGTAGCAACAACTGATCTAGCACTCGGCATTACACGTGTAGAGAACTTTCTGTACTCACTGCGTCTTCCTACATTGCTTTCACGAGAGTTTCTCCATGCTCTTTTGAGATGCACATGTATGCAGATCTATTGCATTCGCACATGATATGTATCTGGTAAACAAGAACGTTTCTAGCTATAAGCAGCAGTCACTGATTCGTGGGAGTATTTGCGACGTGATACCTGTCTAAGCCGCTGTCATTAAAGCACACATATGTCACCAGTTACCTCACACCGATGTGAGCGAAGCATCAGTAATTTATGAAGCCACAAACAGATGCCACAAACACAAACAATAAACAAACACATACACGTTGCAAGCTAAATACTTCACAGTTCACACTAACCCTAGTGACGCATCAATAATAGATAAAGACAACAACGTGTAGTATAAACACAAACACAAACAGGTGCGACAAACACAATCAACAAACACAAACACATGCCAGAAAAACGTACTGGTCATGAACACGTGCCACGAACAAAAATAACAAACACAAAAACGTTCCACACACACCAGCCACGAACACAAACAACAAAAACAAACAAACAGGTGTCACAAACATGTACACGTTACAAGTTACCTCATACTGTGTGTCCCATTCCCATTGCAGAACAGCGCCATTCTAAATCTGGGAACCAGCAGCCGAAGTTGGTGGTATGACAATGGCATTGCCTGCGACAGTGGCAACGGCACAGCAATGCAGGCGCATGTTGCGACGACGTCAAGCGTTTCTGGCTGCCTGCTCGGCTACGAGTATGTGGAGACGTTACACGCCGCACTGCAGATTCTTTTCTCTGTAAGCACGCGGATTTCTAGTATTATCATTATTATTATTACTTATTAGTAGTAGTAGTAGTAGTAGTAGTAGTAGTAGTAGTAGTAGTAGTAGTAGTAGTAGTAGTAGTGGTAATAGCGGTGGTGGTGGTGGCAGCGGCAGTGATAGCCGCAGCAATATATTTCATAACTAGTATTACTGCATTTGTGAGAGCTGTGTTCAAATTTGGCAGAGCTCCTTAATTCTCGGTAGAGACCTCAGGGTTGTAGTTAAAAACAAGCGCGTCTAAATGCAGTATAGACTATGTAGATATATCGATTCTATGAAGCACTGAATGATGTAATTACCTAATAAAATTGCCCGCAGTTAAATGTTGATTTTTCATCGTATTTGCACTCCACTCGCATTTCCGGCTGGCTGTTAATTGGGTGAAAATTATCGAGCTGCCTGCAGGTCGTTTTCTCATCAAAGTGCGGTAATCATCTTTCGTGTGTAATTTTCCATGGCTGCATTTCAAGCAAGTAGTAAACTTGTTTTGGGTTAGGGAGTCTTCTACACGATAATTTGCCATGAAAATGCGCTCGTACAGCACTTCTGCGTGGGACAAGGCTCTGCGCAATCACACCCTATGCTGAATCTCACCCGATTCAGAAATCCACTAGACTCACAATCCTACCCTACCCGGAATCCTGCGCTACCGAAAGTCCCACTCCACTCGGAATTCCATGCTACGCAGAATCTCACCCCACCCAGAATCCCATCTCACTCAGCATTCCACACTGCACGGAATCCCACCCCGCCTGGAATTTCACCTTACTCGGAATCCCACCCCACCCAGATTTCCGGAAAATCCATCGTACTTGCAATTCGAGGAGCAATGGGATAGCAATGATGTCTAAATAACGCAGTCGTGGCTACGCGGGTGGCGATCGTTAGCAGTAGAGATGCAGACGCCTCTATCTGTACTCTTATTTACTTGTGTGTGCGCGTGTGTGTGTGTGTGTGTGTGTGTGCGTGCGTGCGTGCGTGCGTGCGTGTGTGTGTGTGTGTGTGTGTGCGCGCGCGCGTGCGTGCGTGTGTGCGTGTGTTTGTGGAGAGAGAACAGAGAGAACAGACAGACAGACAGACAGAGAGGCAGACAGACAAACGGACGGACGGATAGATTCAGATGTAGACAGATACTGTGACGGAGCCGGATCGAGACAGACGGAGATGCAGTTAGAGGCAGCGATAGCGAGAGTGTGCGATGGGGAGGGAGAGAGAGTGAGAGCGAAATAGAGAGAGAAAGAGACAGGGGAAGACGGGGAATAGAGAGAGGGAGGAGAGAGAGAGAGAGCAAGAAAGAGAGGTAAATGGAAATATAGTGAGAGAGGGGGAGGGACGGAAGGATGAGAGAGAGAGAAAGAGAGTGAGCGCGCGCATGCTTGCAGGCCATGCTTACAGAAAAATCGTGCTTGCTCGCGCGTAACGCGCTCAGCGTCGATGAGTCGCGTTTTTGTCCCGCCGAAGTTAATTAATCAAGTAGAAATTACGAGTAGCTCGGAGGCTTCGGCGTGTTTTTCAGTCGCTCGCGATCAATATGCCCCTGACAGTGGAAGCAGCAAGCAGCGCTAGCGGCAATGTTTTATACCTCTTGTTTCACCGCCTCGCGTGGGACGTATTATTAAATACGCGAGGCGGCCCACCCCACACAGTTTAGGACGTTATTGACCCTTGCCATAATATTGCGCATGTTGTGAGCAGCGGTGTTTGTACACGTGTTGTGCAGTGCAATTTATTGTACTAGTGATTTGTGTGAGTGGGTCGTAGATCATATCTACCGGGCGTAGATTCTGTGTATTTCCCCCGCGTGGGTTTGACGTGCTTATCTATTTCGATGGCATTGTCATTGAGCTATAAAACTAGCGTTGGCGTTGCACTGGTGATTCCATTTAAAATAAATCCTGAAACACAGTCATCGCGTTGATGTTACTATAGTTGTGCATTGTGTTTAACTGTGCATTTCGTTCTATTTTTCTAGGTTTTAGGATTTATTTTTGGCTGTTATGTGATACACGTATTCAACGAAGAAGATGATAGTTGTGAGTATACCAGCTGTTATTATTATTATTATTCATTCAAGTATTTGGATGGCTAGTCTTGTATCTGTAGCTGTTCACGCGTCAATTCTCAACTTGGCTCTTTGCTACCACTGTTCAGCGCACTTCTCTCGTGCTTTTATGTCATGAACTTTTTCTTCCCCCCCCCACCCCGTTTAGGGGCACGTGTGACACCACACAGCCCAGCCGACAGTTTTCCCAACGCTAAATTCTTCTTAGCAGTGCATCATTAGCGTCATTAGGGCAAAAACCACACGTGACTGCGCTAATTAGATCTATATGGAGAGATTTTCTAAAAGGCGGCGCCACGGTGATCGATAAGAGGTGAGGGACACAGGTCCGAGTCACCTGTCGTCATCGGAGGGCTGTCATATCAGAAGCTGTCGGCTGTGCAGCGATTGCGAGAGATCGTACACGTACATCCCTCTTTCACTCGTGCATGCTTATCTTCTTTCCGTGCTGAAGCGGTGACTATCCTAGAGGTGGGGGTGGGGGGGCTGCTGCAGATGATGATCAAATTTGCATTATCAAATCTGTTTACTGTCGGCGGCTAAGTGCACGCTGTAGCTGATCGTTGGTACCCGCAGTTGAAGAAAATCAATGTTCTGATAATGTTGGGAGTTGGAAGAAGCGAAGCCAGCAAATATCGGAAGTCCCACGGTGACTCCGACGCGAGGCAGTCGGGTTCAGAGCGGCGTTGTTTAAATGTGACTCTAACGAATCGCCGGCCCGTAGAGACCTCCCATTGCTCTCCACCAGCCAATCAATTCTGATCGCTGCTAGCTTGATGAGTTGTAAGTGTGTGCCTGTGTTTCTGAAGATGCCGCCTTTAAATCGGATGTCTACCAAGACCAGGCCGTATCTGATGTATGTTTGGTAATGTATTTATGTGAAGTGCTGAGGGGTTTTTTCTTGGCCCACTTATAAGCAGCCGATAATTGAATGAATTATTGAAAGGAAGGAAATGAATCAGATTATAGCTATTCAGCTTAGAGAGCAAGTGTTGACAGTAAAGAAAAAGTCAAAAGAAAATGTACATTTTACCAACTTTCGGTGGTCAGTCTATCAATTTCTATCTGCCTGGAACAGATTTTCCGGCATTGTTTCAGGACAAGTACCATTTTACAGCCCCTATTGCAGACTAACAGGCTCCAAAGCCAAATTTTCTGCAAAATTGGGTTATTAACTCCTCTTATTGCCATGGTTTGTTATTGGCAGTGTAGTGTTTCTCCCGTCTTATTACGACTGTGTGATAATTTTAATATACGAAGTGCGTTAAAACATAATTATACTTGCGTCCTTATACGTCTTGTCCGATTTAAGAAAACGCTCTAACTGCAGATTTTAATAAACTCGAAATTTCGCTTTATATCAAATTTCAATTATTGCAGTTATTGTGGGCTGTGCAAATTCTTGTCTCTTTGCCTCATAAAATTGTGTGCTAGGACGGGAAAACCCACAGCGATAAAAGGGGGTTTTATCGAGATGCTACGATGCTGCCTCGTGTGTCCAGGCTTGCTTAGGTTCCAGTCGGATGGTTCAGTAGTCAAAAGAAAGTAATTTATTTTTTGATGCGCTGTGAAGGGATTCAATCTCTGAATTATTTAAAGTATATGGAGGCGAGGGTTAAGCCTGCAAGTTGTACGGCGCTGCCACATCAGATTGACGGGTTCAAAAATAATGTAAGCTTGTTAAGAATATCTATGGGAAAACTACTGCTATACGCTCGATGGTTTGGCTAGGGATGTGACAGGTTTTGCAGAAACGTAACATTAATTTCACCTCGGGGAAATCGGCGTGTGCCCTACGATGGCAAAATTGCAGGAAGGATTTATAGATAAAAACATAGTTGCGCGCATGTGGAGTGTAAAGTCTGCAAGGAGAAGCATACCCCTACGATTTTGGACTGAATGATGGCCTGTATCATGTGAGTCTGCTCCGCCATCAAATATCTTTCTGTCACAAGAGCCACGCATACGACACTGTAGAAGATTACCAGCATTGAATAGCGAACGCGAGCTACGCTTTTACATATTCAATTCACAACGCGAAATTAAAGGTACTGACGTTAGTTCAGAACCGATTCAGTTGTACGAGGAGTAGAGGGGAAAAGACACTCGCCCATGTCGTTCGCGTGACAACAGCGGGGCCAGGCGTCGCGGCTTGGAAGAAATACGACGCCCATTCGTGAGGTTATTATAGAAGATCGCTATCTTCTCCTGCATTCGTTGCCTCTCCTGCCAGCAGCACCTCTCCCGCGGAGTCGACGCGAACTAGCAGCTGAAGCCAGATCGCCCCCCCCCTTATTTATTTCGGTAATGACGTGCTACTGATTTGCCTGAGCGGCATCTGTTTACACGGGTTGCTGTGACAGACAGGCGTGCACCCCACGGGCAGCGGCAGCGGCAGCAGCGAGCCGCGTATCTTCCACAAACATCTCGATGACGATCTGCTGTCATGGCAACCAGGTCCTTTTTGCTCGGACGATGATTCGCCCAGCGGGGGGGGATGCGACGGGGGGGGAGGGGAATGATGAGGAAAATGACGTGGAGGAGGCTGTGTGTCACCGAGAGGCGGACAACGATCTTGCGATCGTGGCCTGCTGCTGCTTGTAACGACGCGCGTTCTCTCTTGCAGTTGCTTTCGTAGGCGGATTCGATCCGCTATCGGCCTACTCTCCTCCCACCAAGACTTCTCACATGCAGTTGCAGCCGATGTATGTACGGTTCACGGTGTGTAGGCATGCTTGCATGACTCACCAGCGGGTACTGCGCGTGTACAGGTGGCGACTCCTAGTGGCTTCTATCCGCATCTTCACGCTAATGTCAATGATGTGGAAGCGGCGCATGTGCATAGCTACTCTGGGCACTGTCAGCAAACGTGGAGCGATAATACTCTATATTGCGAAACTGCATCTACCGCAGCTACTGCGCATGTGATCCTATATATATCAAGAGCTAATAATACCTCTTTATTATTAGCTCTTGATATATATATATATATATATATATATATATGTGTGTCGTGTGTAGTATTTATCATATATCATACCATATAATAATATCAGGGGTAGATAATAAATGACTATAATAATTTGTGCATTATTAACCCGCTGAGAATATGTTTTTATTTATTTATTTATATAGTATATATTATACATATTTTTTATTTATATATATAGTATAGTATGCAGTGTGTGTGTGTGCATGTTCGGTGCTGTGAGGATATAGTTGTCTTCCGATTTGCTGGCGAGCTGTTGAGCCACAGGGGTTGCTCTTTGAGGATCTAGAAGTGTGTGTAGGGGCATCGGCTTTGTCCTTGTCATCTGTCCAAGTGTAAACAATCTTAAGTCAACTTCCGCTTATGGCCTCAATGCCAGCCTACGCTGGGCGGTGGTCGCGATACTTACTGTACGGGCTACAAGCTGTAGTTGAGAATGCTCGTATGTTCGAAATACGCGTATAGCTATGGGCGTTCTAAATAATACACGCTTACATTTTTTCGGCTAGTATATGAAGTGGGCTTTAGAACTAATGCACAGTATTCCAAGCGGATCTGCCGTAAGACGTTTGCTCGATCGTGCTTGAGCACATTGGCATGTGACAAGTCTTCGCAGAGCAAGCGTTTAATTTCGTTTGATTTGTTTTATGTACTTGGCATGAAATCTAATACGTTTTTTTCCTTGTTAGAAATACGATCCGAATTAAAAATGCGTTTTTTAAAGTTATTACTTTCAGCTGGTCTGTTTGCTGCTGTAACCAAAAGATAGATGAAGTACTGCAGTAGTGTGTTCAGTTTTTTGCACTCTAGAATTTGTGTGCATAGCAATTTGTTGAGATACAGTTTTATTTTATAATTGCTGTGCGTATTTATTGACGTTCTGCGTGGGTTCACCCACGTGTCCGGGAGAGACAGGTTGAGGGTGTTGTCCTGGATTTCGGTATGTGTGCGCGCGTGTGCGTGTGCGTGTGCGTGTGCGTGTGTGTCTGTGTGTGCTCGCGCGTGTGTGCTCGCGTGAGTGTGTGTGTGTGTGTGTGTGTGTGTGTGTGTGTGTGTGTGTGTGTGCGCGCGCGCGCGTGTGTGTGTGTCTGTCTGTGTCTGTGTGCTCGCGCGATTTTTTTGCATAAAATATAGGTAAGCACTAATACCGTGTGATAAACTAATGTTTCCATCTTGTGGGGATGCAGGGAAATTGAAATAGTAATGTGTTTACGCACATACGCATAAGCGCGTACCTATACACAGATGCATGCACGCATGCACATACATTACACGTGCACGGGTGTGTGTGCGTGTACGTGTGCCTGTACACACATGCTACAGTATTCATACAGTGTGTTTATAACAGTGTGTGGCCAACAGCAACTGTGTCATGGCCATGTAATATCTGTTTGAAACGTGGAATAACGTGTGAACCTCAAAAAGAAACACAACATACATAACGATAATAAACCAAGAAAACCAACTCTTTTGGCATTCTAACTCTGAGCGATGCTTTTGTTCCAGTACATACTAAGATGATTTCCGTCGTGTACCGCAACCCCGACGACATGATCTATGAAGATATTCTCGTGAAGGAGACGTCGCTGGGATCCAGGCCGGGTTCCCTGCGCCGCATCCAGCACCAGCGTCTGAGCGGGCGTTCGACGCACGGCCGGGAGAGCAGCAGTGCGCCCGGCAGCATGCGCCGCAACAAGCAGACGGCGCCACCTGGCAGCCTGTCTCGCAGCGAGGGGTTCCCGGTAGCGGGGGCGCCACCGGCGCGTGGCAGCGGGCGGCGGCAGGGCTCGCGCGACAGCGTGCGCGGCGTGCGCATCGACAGCGTGCGTGGAGGCGCTGCCGACATCGCTCACCGCATGCAGGCGGCTAACCCAGCCGCGACCCCGCCACGTCCCGCGCAGCATCCATCGTCCGACCCGGCGACCGGCTTCATTCCGGCGGGCGCATTCCACCCCGTCGCGGCGCCCCCTACCGGATCGCTGCGGAACTCGCATCGCTCGGCGCGAGGTTCGGCCGGTCGCCGCGGTGACGGCGACGGTTACGCGTCGCAGCGCTCGCGCTCGTCGCAGCGTTCTCGCGGCTCGCAGCGGCGACGCCGCCGCCAGAGCGCGCCCGACAACAGCTCGACGACGGACCTCGCACCGGACAAGACGAGCACGCCGTACGGCACGCCCGTGACGCTGCGCGCCTCGCAGCGCAGCTCACAGAGCCTCGGCCGTGAGACGGCCGCCGCCGCCGACAGCCTGCCGCGGAGCAGCATGCGTGCGAAGGCGCGGCGCGAGGCGAGGCACCAGCGGCGCAACCGCGAGCGTGCGGAGGCACGCGAGCGCATCCGCTCCAACGAGAACCTGCTCGCGCACTCGCCGCAGTCGTCGCGGCACGATTACGACAACCCGGGCTACGCGCACACGGAGGACAACGACACGGCGGCGGCGGTGGGAGGGACGCGGCGCGGGGAGGAGCCTGTGTACGCGTCGACGTCGCTGCAATCGTCGGGCGCGTGGCAGCAGCAGCAGCAGCAGCAGCGCAGCTACCCGGGCACGCCGAGCACGACGCGCTCGCTGCGGCAGTATCCATCGGACGCGTCCGAGCAGCCGCCGCCGTACACGCCCCTCGCCGCTGCCTCCGTGTCCGACCTCGCGCGACTCCAGAACTCCTCGTCGCTGCTCAACCTCGCAAAGCACGTGCCCCCGCCGACCGTACCGCCGCCACCCCCGTCCCGCTACTCAGCCGCCGCCTCCGCTGCGTCGAACGCACCGCCGTCCCGCTACTCAGCCGCCGCCTCCGCTGCGTCGAACGCGCCGCCGTCTCGCTACTCAGCCGCCGCCTCCGCTGCGTCGAACGCGCCGCCGTCCCGCTACTCGGCGACGGACGCGCTGCCGCTGCCACCCTACCCGACGGACATGTATCCGTATGTGCAGACGACGCGCGCTTCCATCGTGGACACGTCGTTGCCGCCGCCGCCGTCGTCGGTTCCCTCCACGCCGCGGCCGCCAAGTCAGATGTCGTATGAGGAGCGGAGGACCCCGCCGCCGCCGCCACAGGTACCGCCACCAAAGCAGCACTGGTCGAAGCGGCGGCGGCCGTCGGTTCGGAGCGGCACGTCGACTTCGCGTGTTGCCCGCGCGACGTCGTCCGACGATTCGTTCCGCGACGGCCAGGGCGCGCTAGTGTCGAGCGAGCCTGGCGGAGCATCCGGTGCTGGCTTCTACTACATGCGGGGAGGTGAGGTGCGGCGGACGTGATCTGCGGAGGATGCTGCGGTTGCAGCAGCAGGACGCGCGAGTTTCTTTTATAATACAGCTGTGCAGCAACTTTCTTAATCTGTATTGCTGGTAATAAATGTCTGTGGGAGGAGGCAGACGCACTGTATAGCTGGGAGGGGTAGTTCTGCATGTTGTCGCCTTTATGGCATTCACGTGCGAGCGTTACGTATTTTGCGCGCAGCTTCTGTTCCCAGAGGTCTTAGGTGACGTCATAAAATGGTTAACCAGCCGTGCCCAGACAGCTCTCTCTGATACCAGAGAGCCTGATACTCTGTGGTCACTTTATACATTCTTGTGTAACAGGAAGATGAAATAAGTGTCGAATTGAGATGCTTGCATTTAACTGTAGCTTTATTTATTTAAAAAAAGCATTCTTTTATTGAGCGAGATGATTTAATTTTATTTAAACGGGTAAACAGCGTGCAACACAACATCATGTAATTTACAGCACATCAGGTCAGCAATGACGGTAACAGCCACTTGTGTTACAGGGGCTTTTTTACACGTTTTTTGAGGCTGTTGCTGCATTTTAAGTTTACATAGCCTATTTCCATTAGCAGCAATTCCTTTGTACTAGTGCATTAACTTTGCTGTCTTCGTAGAAGGTATACATAATGCTCCAGGATGTATATGTCCAAGGCGAGTTCAGCTAAAGCGTGTGGGGTCAAAAATCGAAACAGCTATCACGTATGCAATCGTTACTAAGCAGTTACTACGGCAGCATTTGTTGTGTGTCTGCTTGCAGGAACGTCGTGACTAGGATAGCAGACTACTTACTGGTACATGCTTAGTGTCAATTGATTTATATGGGTGTGTCCTTAAAGTGAGATATTTCAAAGCTTCACACTAGGGGCTGACTCCTGGGTTGAAACATTTAGTCAGGGAATCATTTTATTATACGATTGACAAGTTTTATGATACCAACGTGTTTTATTATGGCTGCGTTGGTATTCTGTTCCGTAATCTGCTGCGTAAGATGCTGGGCTAAAATTGGAAACTCATTTAGCGGTAAACGTGCAAGCGAACCAATAAGCTGTAATCTAGTGGTTAGGATATGATTTGAGAGAAGTGTGCTGAGTAAAGCAACTATTGTAAGACTAAAGATTAAAGGTTACTGGGCAGCTCCTGTGGGGAGTGGGGATGGGCAAGGTGATCCTCATCGTGTAGTGACATGATCGAATATGAAATTAACCGCAATTGGTCTTGTCCAGATTTTTTCCTGAACAATCCATCGAAACGCATCTTATTTTGCTTCACGAGTGATCACATGGCAGTAGGTAGCTTCATTCCTCTGTAGTAATTATCGAACTCTCATTAAGTAAATGTATGTATGTATGTAGGCCTATTTTATATAGGTATATGTACCTATATCGATTAGTGATTCATTATCAGTGTAGTTAATTCTCACTTAGCATCTTGATCGTGCGGTTAGCATGAGTGGTTAATTAGAAAACACTGTTATCATGCAGCTGCCGTTAAGGTTCTGCTGCGAATCATGTGGAACGCAAACGTGTAACGTAAAAGGCCATAATTTGTAAATATTGAGTGTTTTGTTACAGAATAAATTTTGTACATAAACTATAAATAAATTTCGGTGTACTGTGAGTACTTTTCATTTTATTTCACCGCCTTATTGTAACCTTTCGTGGGCACAGAGTTGGGGTGATGGATGGTTAGTCATGGCACGATACCACTGTGTTTTGAATACCCAAACACCGCTTGCTTATACTATAATATAGATTAAAATAGAGGCGGCCGCATTAACCATAGAGCTCATCATAGCAATCGATAGACAATACGCAATCATGGAGCGCATCTACTGATCAGCAAGTGCGATGTTTATAAGCCGTAACTGGTTACTAACTGGCCACGGAACACGTTTGATCTGTGTTTTTTCTACGTACCAGTATATATTTGGAGTTGGAGCACTATAATACAGATTTTCCCATAGAATGCGTTTGCATTCCGGTGGCTTTTGTCTTTTGAAGTAATATTTATACCACGACAACTTTGCGCCACGTACTGGGGAATTAAGGGCTGAAGTATCCGCTTCTTGATTGGCTCGGATAACCTTTTTATGTTTATTTATGTTCACTGCAAAACGTTTCATATACCCTAATAATTACAAGTACTGTAATTGCAATTTCACGAACCGTATCGAAATTTGACCATGAATAAATGCAAGCAAAACGCATGCGTATCGTTTGTAAATACAAGATGGTGATGTGGTATAGAAAGCATTTATTTTGTATTACAGATATCAAATAATATGAATATATATATATCATTTTATATATATACATATATATATATATATATAGAGAGAGAGAGAGAGAGAGAGAGAGAGAGAGAGAGAGAGAGAGTTTTACGGAAGCATGTTACATTATAACCTATCACACTCATGTTTGTCATCGTTATGATGTTTTATATGTCATTATTATATTCTAATTTCCTATTAAATATGTAAAGTAATGAAATTACGGATCATTTTCCCACAGAACACACTTTTATTATTTACACCTCATGATCAAGTCGGTTTAGTTAATTACGTTATAAGTCTAAGTGTGGGGTATATGTGTACATAATAGCACACGTTGCGCCTAGTTGGTTATGTGTACATCAGGAAGTTTGTTGGCATTAGATGTACCGTCTTCCTTCTGTCCGGACTTAACTGAATGGGTCTTGAAGTGTAATGGCAGCAGGGGGTACTTGGATATGTTAGACATGTAACTCAGGTTCACCTGAAAATATACATATTCGGAGTAAAACACTGCATCGTTGCAATATTGTCAATTGACCTTTTCTCCGCTTTATGACAGTTTGCCAATTTTTGCATAATTCGTACTGCATTTACATTTCAATGCATAATCGACTTTTATTCTTGAGCTCGACACCTACAATAAACAACACGTGATAAATTAGATGGCAATATTAGCGTACTTTCCACTGATCATCCCATTGCATGTGATTGTAATGCGGTTCTTTCGTCGTTATGCGCTTCCATATAGCCTGGTTCTCGTGTGTTATCCGCAGTAGCTCCCTCTGTCGTTTCGTCTTGTTCAAACTCTTCTCCTGGATTCACGCGGTAATACGAGAGCACGGTTAGATAAACCTTTCTCATTTCATACGAATTGATCTATAAGCTACTAAGCTCAAATACACACGCATTTAATTGGTCTTAAATATATGTCCGCGCAAATTAAAATAAATGAATAATATAGTTGCATTATTTGCTAATGCGCATGAGGTGTGCTACAGTGTCTAATGAGACTACACATGTGTTTTAGCAATGAACCCCCTATACATAATATACTATAACATACCATAATACGTGTGATGTCGTGTGTTGTGTGTGTGTGTGTGTGTGTTGTGTGCGTGCGTGCGTGCGTGCGTGCGTGCGTGCGTGCGTGTGTGTGCGCGTGCGTGCGTGTGCGCGTATTAATTGTATTATTAGTATACAAAAAGATGCGAGGAACAGAATTTATTTGACTTACTCCATAGGCATTATTGTTATCCACGCGTCCTCTAGTGCGCATGATGTAAGACATTTTCTCAAGCAAGATGTTATTATCACGCTCCACGATTGCTAGTCGTTCCTCTTCCATCTGCAGTTTTTTCAGCTACATCAACCAGATGATATCAAGACAAATATGCACATATATTAATATAATGAAATGAAATTAATACTATATTTTAATTATGTAAACACTATTCTTTCGGTGCGATAAAGCGACTCGTGTTCTACCGTTAACTGCGTTGGAGTCTGTGTTTACTGCGTGTCGTTAATTCAACTGTGTTTTGCGAAAATCTTTGATCTTTATACTTTATTCTCCAGCATATATTAATTGCTGGATAAAGATTACAAAGATATATTTATAATAATTATAAAAACATAATTTTACAAGATAACAAATACATTAAAAATGTTACACAGACGCACGTTATATACAAAATAGTATAGCCTTATAATATACGATAACGTACGATCTGCCTAGGCTATATTTTAATTCACCAGGCGTACATAACTAGTTGAATACTGTTATAAAGGACAACCCGAATTTTACGAGATTAGAAACTAACTTGGTTAATTTGCCGTAAACGTACTAGCCTCAACAACCTTTTACCACCAACTGCATGGTCAGATTTAATCAAGCTAACGTAGGTACACAAGCGTTAATGTTTTACTATAGAATAGAATAGAATAGAATAGAGAAGAATGAATGAAGGAAGAAACGAAGGAAGGAAGAAAATTTCTAATTAATCTAGTAACGGTACCTTTAAATGGAGATGCATGTAAGTCTTTGGTGGACGGTTATCAATGACAGGCTTTGCTGTGCTGACTTTAGTTCGGTGCGCGTCAAACCGCGTTTTATCCCATTTTTGCTTTAGAAGCTTGTTATTAGCTGGTGTAATCGATTGGTAGGCGCGGTGCATACTGATTGGCATTCACAATAGTACGCCGTATTTTTATTCCTGTAGTTTCTTGAATGCACTGCTGGTTATTTCCTGTCATCTGAAGCGCGTTTGTTTATTGTTCTTTTTCTGGCGAACAATGATAGAAATTCAATAATGAGAAATCGTCACGATTCCATGATAGGCACCATGGCAACATCATGGCAACCGCCGTGAAGCCATCGGTAGCCATTTACCAAATGGCGGTTATACAATAACAACGACACAGATACTTAACGAATGGTTAAAACCTTGCATGTGTGACGTCAGCTTCTTAACGACATCAGTGTGTGTCATCGATAAGTCTGATATCTGCTATTCTTTTGTGCGTTCATAACATATAACAAGATTCATGAAAAAATCTCTTCTGTGAGACGGCGCCCTTTCGCCGTTAACCGACCAGATGAGCATTCCATTACAGCACAAAAATAAAATAGACGATAATACTGGGGACAGTCGAGTTAATCCATGGACTAACCTGCTCACGCTCTGCTCAAAGAAAGCAGAAACCACAATTTCGCACACTGAAGGTGAAACAAAGAAAAAAAGGGGGACTGCAATGTCTTTGATGAAAGCCATAAAGCGAGATATTGTGACCGATGCAGAGAAAGAAGCATTAGGAGTACAAGGATTCCATATAGGATCTGAACTTGGATCCGGTTCATACGCTAAAGTAAAGTAAGTTATGAAAAACTCCCTGTGTTGAAACTGGTTTCGCGCTCTTGCCATCTCGTTCTCTCTTTTTTCTCTCTCTCTCTCTCTATTCCCTCTATCACGATCTATCTATCTATCTATCTATCTATCTATCTATCATATATATATAGTATATCTACGCTATCTATTCGTATCGCATCTATTCATTGAGATCTATCTATCCATCTGCTGCTCTTCGTCTGCTGCAGGTCTCGTGCC